TAGTAATTCCAATAGAATATTCTTAAATAAGAACTGGTAAAACTGACATTTAACCAAACAACTCCCCAGATGTCTTAACGTGTAACTATTAGACTACATCACTTAATTTAACTATTTAACAACATCATGCCTTATTAATAATTGCTTCTCCATTAGAGGCAATCGAATTCACATTAAATAATCACACCGGATGCTGAGGAGTTTGGGTGCCATAAAATACTTGTTGTAAGATTAATAACACAACAACTGAAACAAGTGGTATGATCACTAGGCTGACGACAACAAGTTATTGTTGCTGCTGCAACAGTATCTGAAGCTGTTGTTGGTGCTGATCATTATGATGTCGATCGATGCGTGTCGTTTGATAGACACCCATCCGGCCGGTGTCATAAACCTGCTGTTCAAATTTAAATGTGTGTGAGCTGAATTTAACGCGTTTAGTTCAGATTTGTTTGTTTTTTGCTCTGAAGATAACTTTTTTTGATGCCAGTTTTCTATGACGTTTTTCATTTTAAGTGCTCTGCTTTTTTTTTTTTTTTTTTTTTTTGTTGGAGCGGCATTTTTTGCAGGGGGACACAGAGCTACGATTAACGAAATATTTCAAATGCACCTGTGCTTCTAAGTGTTTAACCAGTTTTCCCTCCGTCACCAATAAGAAATGGTGGTGGTTGCTAGCCAATGCGATTGTGTGGTTGACTAGTCAATTGCTTTTGTGACTTTTTTACAATTTTCAACTCATTTTTTTTTCCTTTTCATTTTTTGGTCAACAGCAGTTCTGCAATGATTTGTTAAGTTAGTGGGTTTCTGGTGTTGTTGCGTTGTTTGAGTGTGTGGTTGCTCTAGCTTCCACAATTTAATGAACATACGAGTACAAACGGCAAGGTTGTTTTTCATCGACTACCCCAACAGCTATAACAAGCATCAATTGATAAATTGGCAACTAATGCAGCTGCAACTAAATAAATACACTTGTTTGTGGACTTATACACATTTATGAACACATAACTTGTAATACGAACTATATCGTATTATGTTAGTCCAAGTAGGCCCGCCACCCAACTAAACTCTGCTGCAAAACTACTCCCCTTTTACGTCCCTCCATTTTTCAGGCCATAGATAAATAGTCAATAAAATACTACAACTACTATTATTAACGCTGCTGCCGCTGTGTTACTGCTGTTAGTATAGTGACTAATAACTTTGACTAACCAACTAGTTAGTTAATAAGCAAAGCCAGCCAGCTAGCAAACAGGCTGGTTGTTTGGCTGGCTGGCAAACATAGACATGTGAATTTATGATAAACAACAAAATCACTGTCAGTTGATACCTCCTAACTACCACACAACAAAACTATTTGCACCTGTCGCCACAAATGCACCCAATTGCAACAATAAACACTTGCATACACTACTCTAGTACATGAATATAATTGCAAACAACAACACCAACAGCTATCTATGTAAGGCTCCCCTCTTAATACGGTGCACAAACACCACCAACAACACTAACATAATTATTCAACATTTTGGTTTCCTAATTTATATGGATTCCTTCAACCAAACCAACCAACTTGTTTCAGCATTATCTATCTGAAAACCTATTACAAATACATTTTATTTAAGAAGGGGAGTTTGTTGTTCTGTTACAGCCTTAAAGGATGATGATCCTAGTTGCAGCAACATCTGTCCTAAACATCTGCCAGTTTCTCTACATATTTAGAAAAATCTGTTGAAAATGGGAAAAATGTACAAACATACAGCTCACAGCATTCATAAGAAACCCCACAAAAACTTGTTGAGGAAAAATATTAAAGTGGGCAAAGGGCAAGAGAGAGAGAGAGAGAGGGGAGCGATCAAGTGCAAATCATGGTAATTATATTTTGATTTAGAAAAATTGTAATCAAATATTGCAACAGGTGCAAAAGTATTAAACATTAAAGGTTATACAAATATACAAGTTTTGAAATTGAAAGAAAAAGTAACGGACATTTGTATTTGAAAGTTGTAAAGTTGTTGTTTTATGAATTAAATATGTTGTTGTTATACGTGTCATGAAGGATTTGAAGTTATTCGTGTTATGAAGGATTTTCCTATAAGGGTAGGTCGTTTAAGTTATTTTACTTGAAAGGCTATTGTCTGTCAAATATGACATTCACCAAAGGTCCAGTGGCCCGACCTTATCATTATACTTTTGTGTTGATCAATTGGCTACACTGACATAAAACTTCAAATTTTCGAAAATGTTCGGTAGCACGTATTTTTTAAGTTCAGTATTAAGTGTTCTAGGTTAGGGTTCGTATAATTGCTACTAATGGGCCTTTTGTGCACAATTTTACATGGCATTTATTCGATATCCAGTAACTCAATTTCTTAGACGTAGATATTTTCCAATCAGTGTTCCTGTAATAACTGGTATAACATCGTTTAGATATATTTGAGGGATTATCCCCTCCCCTGCTTTACATTTGCCAAAATCCGCTCATCCAATTTCGTACAATTATTTCATAACTGCGAAAGTGTTTTCAGCGTTTCATGATCCACTTAATTTCGTATAATCTCCGTTATATGTAGATAGTAGTGGGCCTGTAGCAAGAGCATGTTACCCTTGATAAATTTTCCTCTATTTTTGTGTTATTACAATACCGGTATAAATGAGCCAGTATCTCTATGAACTGGTAGTGTCATTTGACTCCTCGGCTATTCCTTGTCTTGTTATGGTTATTGAATAGGTTCCATAGAGCTGTGATTTTAACTCGTACCATCTCCGTTGTAGATAGTTATATCATAAAATTGTTCAGGTATAATGGCCTGTAGGAAGGGCATGTTACCCTTGATGAATTTTCCATATCTTGGTGTTATTGCAGTACAGGTATAAAGGAGCTGTTACCAGTGTCTGGTGGTGTCATTTGACTCTTCGGCCAATCCTTGTCTTGAATAGGTTCCTTCGGGGCGCACGTGGTTGGTCCGACAACTTAGGTAGAATGTGTTGCATTAAAGAATGGTGCACTATAGGAGCAAATGTGAGGCCAAATGTTGGGAATGAATTGATGTCAAATTATGAGATATACTGGATGAATCAAGGGTATATAGAACGCGCGTTACATCTATATACTCATATAAATGTGTCGAATGTTTTATTTAATGGATTCCTGTCTCGATCTACTGAACTGAATGGTTCTAAACGGAAGTTATGCTTTTAAATATCGGAAGTTACGCTACGGGCAGCGATCGTCAGAGTTAAGAAGTGTAGTTGAGCATGGTCCGCCGACGCTATTTTCGAAAATTGCCACTTATGTGTTCTTTTAGGATCATAAGGGGCAATGTTGGGTCGTCTCTCGCAAATTCTGTGCTAAATAAAGCATTTAACTTCTGTAGCTCCATCCACTTGCGTGTTCCTTAAGAATCGAATGCTCGGTGAAATCCATAGGAGTGACTGTGAGGCCAAATGTTGGGAATGAATTGATGTCAAATTATGAGATACGGAATGAATCAGAGGTATATAGAACGCACCACACCTATATACTGGTATGAATGTTTTGAATGTTTTATTTGATGGATTCCTATTTCGATCTAACAATTATCTTATGATGTTGCTGAATTAACAGCTACCATTTCAGCTGCGTAGTTCTAAACGGAAGTTATGCTTTTACATGTCGGAAATTCCGCTACGGGCAGCGATCGTCAGAGTTTAGAAAGCTCATTTAGTCGAGCAATGAGCTTGTACATGGTCCGTCGACGATATTTTCGAAAATTCCTACTTATGTGTTCCTTAAGGGTCGTGGGTCGTCTCTTGCAAATCCTTGTACATGGCCCGTAGATGCCATATATGGAAATAGCCACTTGCGTGGCAATCTCTTGTTCATTCTGAGCTTGAAATAGTACCACCGAGAAATAAAGCATTTAACTTTTGTAGCACTATCCAAGTAGAAACATTTATCTCAGTTCCCCTAAAAGAAATCGCTTATCACTGACCTGCTAATCTCGTTGCAACTTGATCGTATTGCAATCCCGGTGTATAGATGTGTTACTAGTAACTTAGGTTTCATGTTGCCTAAAACTAAAGGAGTTTTCAACAGCTAAACAGAGTTTCTTGCTGTAGTGGTCTATCACCCTAAAAGGCCTTTTCATTAAAAAGTCTTTTAACTAATTATTACTTGTTAAATGCCAATTTTTGATAGCGGAAGATTTTGCTGAACAGAAATACATACATATTCATGCAAACCCATCCCTATTGGTTTAAAAACTTACTAATATAAAAACATATTATGAAAATAACAATGCAGGTTGTTGTCACCACTTATTAAAGACACTCATGATGTATAATTAGAATTGCCACCAGGTTGCCACTAAAGTAAACAATTTTATAATTACATATGTATGTACGAGTCTATGGTCAAGTCAACAAAAACATATTGAATGGGGAACAATAGTGTTGTGTGATATATCAGAATTACTCTTAGTTTCCTGAAATCTTTGATAGGTATGAACAAACCTTCAATATGAGGTTAGACGCGATTAATATTTATGTCAGTATGGCCTTATGTGAGAGTAGTTGTTAGAGGTCTAGGTCCGGCAGACCTCTATTTGGGAATCTTTAGCGAAGAAATTAATTGTATAAACTAATGAAATTTGTAATTTCAATTGATCCTCAAAGTAAATCTCAATATTATTTTAGAAAAATATTAAATTTTAAAAATTTTTCACATTAAAAAAAGCAAGGATAACATACTTTATCTGGCATCGACTGTGCTTGTACAATAATTAGAAATTCATGTATATCAAAGACAACCACCAATGGTTTAGATAGCTAAGATCTAAACCTTTATACGGTAAACAATCCCTATTAGCAGAGTTACAAACACTTACGATACTGGTTTTAAAAGGTTCTCGAAATAGCAAAAATTTACGATACTGGTTTTAAAAGGTTCTTAAACTGGCGACTACATAAACCAGAATCAATAAGGGTTGATGTCCAGGCTAAAGAAATGAATAAAAACACACTTTTGGGGTTTATAAACAAAACGTTTTATTTGTTCTTAAAAAATATATTAACAAAAAAATCAGTCTTAACAAAAATATCACAGTTTAGTTACAAGGCAATTACAGGGCTTTTGTACTTTTTTTCGCATTCAGTTTTATTTATAGAAAATAATTACATTTACTTATAATTCAAACAAATAAATATTAAGGACTTTTGTAAAACGAATTAGTAAAGAAAGGCATTTCAAAAATATCTTATTCTTATAAGATTCATTATTTCGTTTTAAATGTTATTATCAAAAGTCCTCAGTTTTCTAAAATTAAACAATTTCATCTCAGAAATAAAAACTAAAATATTGGTTTTTATAATAAAACTTAAAGTTATTCATTAAACAAATAATCTTTTCCAAGAAATAATACTTATTCTAATAAGAATAAAATCTTACTGTTATAATACAACTAAAATAACTAACAAAGCATTTAGGTATGCATTTTGTTAGTTTTCTAAAAAGTTCTTTTTTTAACTCTTCTACGCTTCTTAACATTTGACGATTTAAAATCTTTATAAAGACATTTTGTAACATCATCATTACTCTTAATATTAGCAACTAAGTCTTCGGATTGATTTGAATTTAAACGTGGCATTTTTCTGCTAGGTGTATTTAAAAGGGAAGTTTCATCTGCTGTCTGACTACCACGTCTTTTTCCACTTTCATTTATTTGTTTTGTTTTTAACAAATCAATTACTCTATTAAGCTCCGCATTATTGGCATCAACTTCCTCATCGGATACAATTTCGAAAACAATTTCATAGTCGTCCTCGTCCTTCTCAGTTGGTAATCGCTTTTCTTCCTGTTGTATAATTTCTAAAGGATTTTCTGTTTTTCTTTCTTGTTTATTTTCCTTGGCATATTTATTTATTATTTCCCTTAATTCATTTTGTACATCTTCCTCACAGTCCTCAATTTCTAGTTCAATTTGTGTTTCTTCATTTTCCTCCTCGTCTTCCTCCATAACTTCAGCAGTTTTATTTTCTTCTTCACAGTTTTTTTCCAGTTCATTTTGTAAATCTTCAAAATCACCATCTTCAATGTCTAGTTCAATTTGTGTTTCTTCATTTTCCTCTTCAGTTTTCTTTATAACTTCAGCTGTTTCATTTGTTTTATTTTTAACTTCTTTTAAGATTTCTTTTAATGATTTATCACAGTTTTTTTTCAGTATAATTTGTAAACAATCAAAATCACTAAATTCAATTTCAATGGGTTTCTTTCCAATTCCATTCAGGGTTTCATTAGTTTCTTTTTTACTAAGATTTTTTGTAGAACATTCATTTTCTCCCTTATCATCTTCTTCATTATTATCTACAATTTGATAAATATCAATGCATTCACTGTCATTGTCATCCATAAAATCGAAATCTAACTGCCTTTTAATTTCTGCTGAAATATCTTCAATTTTTTCATTTGCAGATTCTGTTTGTTGATCATTAGAAATTCCTAGAAATGTTTCTAATTCATTATGTTCCACTTGCAAAATGTCATCGTTTAGTTCCGGGGGTTCTATTTTAATGTTGGATTCCATCGCTTTATTACACTCGCTGTTTACAAGTTTAATATTAGGAACCAACACTTTCGTATTATCACACTCTTGCGCTTCTATTTTAATCCTGGTCTCTAGAGCTTTCTCATTATCAGGCTCTAGCTTTAAAGTTTTTCTTGGATTTTCAGGAATATCAATAAATTCTTCAAACTCGTTTAGTTCCTCTTCTAAACTGTTAATGAGATTTTCAGTTTCAATATTCGCTTGGGGCTCTTTTTTAATAGAGACCTCTTTTGTTTGCTCTATTTCTGTCGTTTCAATATCTGCGAATTTTTGTTTATTTTTATTACATTTATTTATTAATATTTCATTATTAAGCAAGCACATAAAAAACCACTTAAAACTTAGTGCAACATCAAAATTCAAATTATAATAAAAAAGTGTATATTACCGCAACTACTTAATGAAATTAATAAATTTATTAAAGGCTTAAAAGAGGATAAAATGGTTTATGTTAAAGCAGGCGCAAAATTAATAAAAGTTAGTTTAAAAGGCAATGAAATGAGTTAATAGGTTACAAATATTTACATGAAAGAATGTACAGTTATCCAATCAACCAAAAGAAAACAGTGCTATATTTAGCTATGCCGAATCTTATATACCCTTCAACAAGAATATTGAATAATTAATGTAAATTAATAATCAATCAGTTATAGTTCAATTCTAGTACAGTTCTAGTTTCAGTTCTAGTTCAGTTCTAGTTCAGTTCTAGTTCAGTTCTAGTTCAGTTCTAGTTCAGTTCTAGTTCAGTTTCTAGTTCAGTTCTAGTTCAGTTCTAGTTCAGTTCTAGTTCAGTTCTAGTTCAGTTCTAGTTCAGTTCTAGTTCAGTTCTAGTTCAGTTCTAGTTCAGTTCTAGTTCAGTTCTAGTTCAGTTCTAGTTCAGTTCTAGTTCAGTTCTAGTTCAGTTCTAGTTCAGTTCTAGTTCAGTTCTAGTTCAGTTCTAGTTCAGTTCTAGTTCAGTTCTAGTTCAGTTCTAGTTCAGTTCTAGTTCAGTTCTAGTTCAGTTCTAGTTCAGTTCTAGTTCAGTTCTAGTTCAGTTCTAGTTCAGTTCTAGTTCAGTTCTAGTTCAGTTCTAGTTCAGTTCTAGTTCAGTTCTAGTTCAGTTCTAGTTCAGTTCTAGTTCAGTTCTAGTTCAGTTCTAGTTCAGTTCTAGTTCAGTTCTAGTTCAGTTCTAGTTCAGTTCTAGTTCAGTTCTAGTTCAGTTCTAGTTCAGTTCTAGTTCAGTTCTAGTTCAGTTCTAGTTCAGTTCTAGTTCAGTTCTAGTTCAGTTCTAGTTCAGTTCTAGTTCAGTTCTAGTTCAGTTCTAGTTCAGTTCTAGTTCAGTTCTAGTTCAGTTCTAGTTCAGTTCTAGTTCAGTTCTAGTTCAGTTCTAGTTCAGTTCTAGTTCAGTTCTAGTTCAGTTCTAGTTCAGTTCTAGTTCAGTTCTAGTTCAGTTCTAGTTCAGTTCTAGTTCAGTTCTAGTTCAGTTCTAGTTCAGTTCTAGTTCAGTTCTAGTTCAGTTCTAGTTCAGTTCTAGTTCAGTTCTAGTTCAGTTCTAGGTTCAGTTCTAGTTCAGTTCAGTTCTAGTTCAGTTCTAGTTCAGTTCTAGTTCAGTTCTAGTTCAGTTCTAGTTCAGTTCTAGTTCAGTTCTAGTTCAGTTCTAGTTCATTTAGTTCAGTTCAGTTCAGTTCTAGTTCAGTTCTAGTTCAGTTCTAGTCAGTTCTAGTTCAGTTCTAGTTAAGTTCTAGTTCAGTTCTAGTTCAGTTCTAGGTCAGTCTAGCAGTTCTAGTTCAGTTCTAGTTCAGTTCTAGTTCAGTTCTAGTCAGTTCTAGTTCAGTTCTAGTTCAGTTCTCAGGTTCAGTTCTAGTCAGTTCTAGTTCAGTTCTAGTTCAGTTCTAGTTCAGTTCTAGTTCAGTTCTAGTTCAGTTCTAGTTCAGTTCTAGATTTGTTCTAGTAATAATTTTTCTTATCTATGGAATATTTTCTTCATTCCCTAAAAATCATTCTGTGATTTTCTGCTTTTCGACTAAAGCTTATAAAAATATATAACAAGATTGGCTTCTTCCCCCGATAAGAATACACCGTAACACTATTCATTCATGGAAAACTTATAACATTAACCCCCATTATCTCAATGTCTGGTTATATTTTATCCTAAAGTTAAATTGACAGTTTTCATACAAAAAATATTTTAACCGGCAGAATATCTACAGGTTAAACGATAACCGGAGGTGGAGTTAAATGGGGGTGAAGATAGTTAAAGAAAAGTATTTTTACATAATGGTTAAATAAAAAAAAAATAAAAACAAAAAACTATCAATTAAATAAGTAAATGAAATGTTAGCTTTTTAATGTACCAAATAATACATGATATAAAAAAGTAAAAAAGTAAACCAACTTACCCTTAGATGAAATAATAGTTTCCTTTATTACATCTTGACGAACGGAGTAAGTTGGCGATAATGGTTCGCTTTTAATTTTGGTAATTTTATCATAAAATTCTGTATCATCATTGCTAATATCAACAACTGTAATGGGGTTTTCAACTGCAATAACTTCATCATCATCTTTATTTTCAATTTTACTTTCTTCTGGGGGTTTTGCTTTCGTTTTAGGACTTTTACTTTCAATAGATTTTTTTGAATTGCTCCTTATCGCTTTAACATCCAGACGCTCAAGAAATTCCTCATATATTTCAGCTTTTAATAATCGTTTACCTTCTTTTTGAAAAATTGCATATATATCAAAAGGTATACAATCCGTTGAGACATTATTATAAAGTAAATCCCCTAAAATTGTTCTTATTCGAGTCCAAATTTTCATATTTATTTTATAGAATATTTTAAATAATTCCTTTAGATAGTTTATTTGTTCGTGTATTGTGGTTATTGATAAATTTACTTTTTTTAATTTACACTGGCGTATCCATTCCAGTAGAAGTGTTTCGACGGCAACTGTATAGTCTGGTGTTTTTTTTATTTTTTTGTTTCTTTCTTTCCACACCTCCAAAATAACATCTTGATTTTGTAGTATACGGTGGATTTGATAGAGACTAAGGTTAGTTTTCTTCTTTAAATCCAAGTTATTTTTCAAAACCTTTGAGAGCAAAATAAGATTTACTTGTTTTTCGATAGGAATATTTTGCTGTTGGAGAGAAAATAGAAGGTATAAAGGTATGTAGGCAATTAATAAAAAATATATTCAATGCATAACCTAATACGCATAGATTCTCTGAATAACAAGATGGAATCTCTGAGGATACATGTAGTAAGTGATTGCCCCATATCAATAGTTCTAGAAGAGAAATATATCTACTGGCTGTACTGGCACTGGCTGCAGGGAATATTGTAAACTTTTCAAAGAATAGAATTGTGAGCTTCAGGCGACTACTCAATTCGATAAATAAAAGGTGACACCGAATAAAAAATACTCGCCCAAAGATTGTCAACCCAGCGATAGCTATATCAACTGAAACTTTGTTCCCCAATGAAAGAACAATCGGCAATAGTGGAACTGGTACAACATACGTTTCGTATTGCTAATCCAAGGCTCGAATTTTGCCAAAAATTTAATTCCTTACACAAAATAAATTCCACAACACCAAATTGGTTTTGGGCGACTCTAATTAGATCACACACTACAAAAACTTACCAAATCCATTGTACCGATTATGCTCTATTATAAATTTAGCGTTTTTCATATAATTAAGACATTTATCATTCAGTTTTCCTTAATTTTTTAACAAATTTATCGAAAGGATCCAAAATTAAATCCCGAAAACAATTATTTACTTGTAGAATATAAATGTAAGTTGGCAATGCTGTCATTACTGAAAAGTCTACAGCAGAGATGGTGATACCACTATTAATAATTAATGTAGAAAATATAATATTGAAATTAGATGTATATTATAAATTATGGTTTAAATATTGAAAACTTTATGAAACTATATCAACTATCATTTATTGTTGCATCATAAACATTTGCAAATTCTTTTTATAAAATTGTATTTAAAACTATATACTTTTCCATCCCTGATCAACAAAAACTATTGACAGAAAAATTGTAAACAAACAATTATACACCGTAAAAAGTTTTTGGCAGAGACTATTCATTAACTTTTTAAATAAATATAACATTTATTATAGGTTTCTAAAAAATGTGTTATACACAACATTATCTCTAGATGTATGCAGCAAATTGCGCTATACACAAATTTGTTTATAGAAAATGTCTTTCACTACGGAAAAATATGTTATACAAAAATGTTTCTTTAAGAAAAATTCGTTATAAAATATTTTTTCTAAAGAAAAATGTGTTATACTCTAATTTCTCTGAATAAAAATGTGTTATACTCTAAATTTTAAATAGAAAAATGACTTGTACACATATTTTTCTGTAGGAATATGTGTTGTACGGTTTTTATTCTATTTAAAAATGTCTTTTTTATAGAAAAAACTGTTATACACAAATATTTGTATAAAAAATCTGTTATGCTCAAAATTTTCGATAGAAAAATCTATTATGCACAATTTTTTCTGTAGACAAAAAAAAATCTTCTATACATTTTGCTACAGAAAAATGTCTTGTACACAAATTTTTCTGTAACAAAATGTGTTATACGCATTTCTTTCTTATTTAAAAATTTCTTTTTCTATAGAAAAATCTGTTACATATAAATTTTTCAATTGAAATATCTGTTTTTGTATAAAAAATCTGTCATACTCAAAATTTTCTATAGAAAAATCTATTATACACAATTTTTCTATAGAAAAAATTTTTATACACTAGTTTTTTATAAGAAAAAGTGTTACACATTAATTTATTTATATAGAAAAATATGTTTTACGCAAAAATCAGTTATACACATAATTTTGTAAAAAAAAACTGTAATTTTCATAACATGGATTTCTAACACAAAAAACTGCTATAGAAACAATTTCTATAGGAGCAAGAACTGTTATACACAATTATTATATAAAAACACATTTAAATATTTATTTTATCAATCTATTTACATATTTTACGTTTTTTTTTAAATTCCCACAATTTTTTTGTAGAAAAATGTGTTATACACATTTTTTATAAGAAAATGTGTTATAACTAAACATTTCTACAGAAACATTTTTTATACACTTATTTTTCTATAAAAAAAGATATTACACATACATTTTTATATAGAATTTTTTTTTATATATTTATTTTTCCAATCTATTTACATATCTTACGTTTTTTGGCTTTACTTGCATTAACCTCAGTACAATTATTTTTAAATTCCCACCACTTGCAAAGTATATCCTCCTGTTCAGCTACGATATTATAGATATCTTCCACACTAAAACATCTTTCCATGATGCTAATTACCGAGGTTAAGGAAGGATATTCTTCACAATAATATAAAACCAAAAGCTTACGATAAAGTTGTAAATTATCCGAAGAAATTAGCTAAAATTTAAATAACATTTTAATCAAAATGAAATGTTTCTAGTTTTTTTTTCGCGTTCTATCTCAAAAACTTACATAATTTTTTCCAAAGTTCTCTTTAAACGACAAACGTAAGTAGATTTCACTAAATTCTGGTAGAATTCTTTCCAATTGAGTTTTTCTTAAAATAAAATAGTAAAATTTCGTTTAGTGTATTTTTGGTAAACAAATAAAAAACGTAATCCTTTCTAAGTTAAAAATTTCTTTAAGTGTTTTTAATGTAAATAAAAAAAATGGAGTCCTTTTTTCTCTACTTACTGTAGCATATTGAAATAATTACTTAATATAGAGTCCAATGCAAATTTAGACATTTTAATTGTATTTTAAATTTATTCTAGGAAGAGCTAGTTTTTCTTTATTTATTTAGTTTTAATTGTTTGATAAAAAAAAATAAACAAAAAAAAATGTAAACACCCAAATGAATACAAAAAATCTATAAAGCTGCCATATATAAGTTAGTAAGTCTCCAAAACTAGTGTTGCAAAGTGTTAAATTATTTAAATGTTTGTAAACAAACTGCATTTCTTCAGTTAAACGAATTTACTATAAAAAACAGGCAAAGTAAATGTTAAATAAGTATTTATTTTACAAATTTTAAAGCCAAAGTGTAATTTTCATTATAATTAATTTATTTAACACTTAGTTTATTATTTTATTTTAAATAATATACATTTTCAATAAAAAAGTAAACTGTACTTTAAGTGCAGTACGTGCATATTACGTACATATTTATTTACAATGTTTTAGTTAGTAAAATATAAAAATAACACAGTCCAAATCATTTTTAACCCAGTGACCAAAGTAGAAATTTTATATTTTATTATTCCAAAAATTTATAGAATTTTAATGTTATATGTATGTATACTTAATTGAAATCCAATTCGAATTTCTGTATGTATCTTAAAATCCTATTCAATTTAGAATATTTTAATACCACTTTTCATTAAACATATTAAATCTCTACACTGCACTTTGACAGTGTAGTTGTTGTAAATATAAAAACGTATTGCAACACTATTTTTTCCTATGTTTTTTCAGTTTTTTTGTACAATATTCTTCGATTGTAGACGCGCAAATTTTGCCGCTGTGTTGTGAAATTTCATTTTGCTGTGCAAAAAATCGCAATTTAAAAAAATTAATGTTTGTGTATTATTGTTTAGCGTAAATAATAAGTGTAACTCCAATAGATATATTCCAAAATTATTTGTTTCAACTCCCTGGAAAGTGTAAAATAAAGACGCTTTTAAAATGTCTACCATCGAGAAACTTACGATACAAGGTATACGCAGTTTTGGTGGTAACGCTGGTGATGCACAGGTATACATTGTTGTATTGAATGCAACTTTTTTTCAAGTTTTTTTTTTTTTTTTGCTTTTACTTTTGTACTCTTATCATGATGATGCTAATGCTAATAATTGCAAACAACAAAAATACAGCTTATACGTTTTAGTTCGCCGGTAACTTTGATATTGGGTGAGAATGGTTGTGGCAAGACCACCATCATTGAATGTCTTAAGTACGCCTTAACAGGTGAATGTCCGCCTGGCAGTGACCGCGGCAAGAATTTTGTGCATGACCCCAAGATTTTTAGTCTCACCGATGTCTTGGGCCAAATTAAACTAGAGGTGCGTAATGTGCAGGGAGCCCGCCTTTCCATCTGTCGTTCCATGAAGCTGGGTATGAAGCGTAATAAAATTACATTTGAAACTTTGGATGCCACTATCAACTATTTGAATGATGACGACAAGAAGGGCAGTGAATCGATAAGTAAACGTTGTGCCGACGTAGACTTGGTCATGAGTCAGTTTATGGGCGTCTCCAAGGCCATTATAAATAATGTACTCTTTTGCCATCAGGAAGATTCCAGCTGGCCTCTGGATGAGGCGAAGAAACTCAAAGAGAAGTTTGATGCCATTTTTGGCATTACCGAGTACAATAAGGCATTGGATCGTATTATCAAAATGCGCAAAGAGGAAATGGAACAATTGAAAATTAAGGGTAAGAGAGCTTGCCTACGCTTTATTGGTAAATTTTGTGTACAGTTTTCCAATAATGTTTTCATTCCAAACTTACAGAAGCCGATCTACGTTTTGTGGAGCATTTGAAGCAAGAAATGGAGGGAAAATCTTTGGGTCTTCAAAAATATAAACAAAAAGCCCAAACAATTGATGATCAATGTAAATTATGCGACGATGAAATGGCTCCGATTGAGGAACGTCTAAAGCAGATACATAAAATTGAATATGAAGTGGGAAAATATCAGGCGCAGAAGGTGGAATTGCAAACTAAGTGAGTTTTAAAGTTTTATTATAATTTTAGACAATTAAAAAAAAAGAAAAGATGAGAAAAGTTTTATACAACAAAAGTTCTATAGAAAAAAACTATTTTCTATCTGTTATGTAGAAATGAAAAATTGTTATACACATATTTTTCCATATTAGAGTGTCCAGAGAGTCCAAATAACAAATTTTTATCTTTTAAATAACTAAAACATACCTTCCTCCTCTTTTCAAAATCTCTAATTTTTAGACAAAAAAATTGCACCGATCAAATGAACGGACTCAAAAAGAAAATTAAGAAAATGTTCGAAGGTACCATGGAAGAATTAGATAATGAAATATCATCGTTCCAACAGAGAATTGCCGAAAAACGTATGGAACGTAAAGAAGTTGAGGAAAAACTTAAAAGTCAGAGAGTGGAGGAGAAAAGTCTACAGCATAAACATAATGAAATTGATAAGAAACGTGTTGTCATACAGCAGCAAAAGCAAAAAGAACAAGATTGCAAACAAAAAAGAGCCGATAAATTGAAAGCACTTTGCCAGGAACTCAATATACCCATTGAATTTGATTTAATGAATTCGGTAAATGAAATCACCGAGCTATTAGAGGAAATACAAGCTTTCCTAGCGGCCGAACATTGTAAAATAAGTGAAACTGTTACACAACACGATAAGGAAGATCAAGAGCGTCAAACTAAAATTGATCAACTTCGTGTTGAGTTGACTAAGTTGCAAGAATCCGTCTCCACTATGCAAAAGCAGAAAAAAGCTTACGAAAAAGAGTCCGAGCAACTTGAAAGGAATATTTTACAAACGGAAAAGGCTACCCAACAACTTAAAGTGGTAACCGAAAAGCTCAAGGAGACCGAGCAATGTTACGAAGAATCGCTGGCAAAATTCAATCAAAATGAATTTCGTGAATCTTTGAAGAATGACAAGGAAACTATTAAAACATTAGAAGCACAATTTCGTAAAGTAGATGAACGTTTAACATTTCTTAATTCCATATCGAAACTGGTGGCCGAATTGAGTATTAAAGAGAAGGAACTAGAGAAACGCGAAGAGGAAATGCGCAAAGTGAAGAGTAAACACAGTGACAACTTCCGCAAAGTTTTCGAGGAGGGACGTACTATAGAAACTAATTTCCAGCGTCACTTAAAAGCTTCCTATGAAAAATCTCGTATTAAAATTAAGGAATACAATGAAAAATTAAATTCCATGAAATTAAAACATCAAAGAATTGAGATTAAACGCAAAAATCTTAAAGATGATTTACAAAAATGTGAAAAAGAATTGGAAGATTGTAAAGAGAAAATATTTGAAAAGTGTCATTCGACTCCCTATGAGGAAATGTTGGCCAAATCCAAGGCCTCTGTGAGTAAATACCAATTGGAACATGGCGCTCAAAAATCAGCTGAAGTATTTTATAAGAATTATTTGCAAAAGATAGATGAAGAACCCTACTGTCCTTTGTGCCAGAAGTGTATGGATACAGAAGAGGTAAAATTCATTGTTTTTAAATTTGTTGCTTTGTCTTTCTAATTAACTTTTTAATTATTTAACAAAAAAGGCCTCCAATCTAACCACGGAATTAACTGATAAAATCCAAGATTTACCCCAAAATATTGAAAGGGTGGAGAAACTGCTCAAAGAAGAGCAAAAGAAATATGAAAGTTTATTACATTTAAAGCCAATTATTGATAAAGTGGCCCGTTTTGAAGCAGAAATTCCCCAAAAAAGGGAAGTATTAAAAAGTTTGCAAAATCAATTGGCCGAATCCAGCACTGAAATGGAAAATATGCAAACTCTTCTGGCCGAACCCACTACAACTATGGAAACCGCCAACTCCATGATGGGAGACATGTCACTTTTGGATGAGTGCATTAAAGAATCGAATCGCCTTAAAAACGATATTGAAAAGTTGAAAAGAAAAATGCCTCAAGATACTGAGAGTGACAATATTTCCATAGATGAAGTACAGGCGGAAAAAACAACAATTTCGGCGGAATTAGAAGAGAAACGGAAAGAGTTGGATAAGAATCAGCAATATTATGAAAAGAATATGGATGCTCTTAATAAACTGAGAGAATTGAAAAATTCGTAAGTATCCAGACAACATTTCCACAATATTTTATTAATTCTTCTTCATTTATTATAAAAATTAGTTTGAAAGATCAGCAAATAAAACTCCAGGAAGGCATACAAAATTTACCGCAACTTAAGGAACGTAAAGCTGAACTTTCGAACCTTTTAGTTGACATGTTGGCCGAAATGCAAGAGAAGCAAGCTAAAGTGTCGCCGCTTAAGCAACAATTAAGTGCCGCCTCTTCGGAAAAATCTCAGCTAAAAGAAAAGAATCGCGTTAAGATAAATCAAATGCAAAAGAAACTGGATACTTTTAGAAGAATGGATCATGACATTAATAGGTACAGAAGTTTTGTTTAGAATTCTTTAAGAAATATTTCCTTAATGCATAAACACTTTTAAAGGCTGGACAATGAGGTTTTGGATTATCAACAATTAAACCTGGATCAACAATTAAAAGACAAAGAGGACGCTTTGAATGCCAGCAAAGAAGAAATTAAGAAAATAGTAAGTAATTTGTTTTAAATGTAACCATCTCTTACTGACTATTTAATGCTTTCCATTTAGGCTCAAACTATTGCCGAGACTAATGAGCAATTGGATGCCATCAAAGCGGAGATTGCCAATCAAGAATCTATAGATCGTGACTTTAAGGACAATCGTGAATTGAAGATATTGGAAGAAAAACTTAAAGATTTAAATGTTAAATTCGAGGCCCTTATGGAGGAATTGGGCAAATTAGATTTCTCAAATGTCTCCAAAGAGAAATCGGAATTAACGAAAAAACGTGACAAGATAACCGTGCGCAAAGGTGAACTTTTGGGTCAGCGTGGCGAGGTCAAACATCAAATAACAAAATTAGAACGGGAACTGGCAGAACCGAAATATCGGGATTCTCTTGTTAATTATCGGCGCATTTACTATGAAGTCCAATTGACCAAGAAGGTAGCCAATGATTTGGGCCAACATCGTGTGGCCTTGGAGTGGGCCCTTATGCAATTCCATACCGAAAAAATGCAAGAAATTAATCGTTTGATACGTGAATATTGGCGTCTTATTTATCGTGGCAATGACATTGATTACATACAAATACAAACGGAAGAGGGTAAGGAGTCGGCCTCACCCATGGATCGTCGCCGCAGTTATAATTATCGTGTTATACAATCGAAAAATAATTCCGAAATTGAAATGCGTGGTCGCTGCAGTGCAGGTCAAAGGGTACTCGCCTCCCTCATCATACGTATGGCTTTGGCCGAAACATTTAGCAGTAATTGTGGTGTTTTGGCCTTAGACGAACCCACCACCAATTTGGATCGCAATAATATTTTATCGTTATGTGATGCCCTCAATCGTATTGTCGAAGATCGCCAGACTCAATCCAACTTTATGTTGATCATAATCACTCACGATGAAGCCTTCATTTCCACCTTGGGCAAAATCAATAGCTATCACCGTGTTTTCCGTAATGATGAGTGTAAATCTGTAATACGTCAAGTTCAAGTAGCCTAGATGTCTGACGTCTGTCTGTTCAATCGTCGTAGTTCGTACATACAACAAATTCGTGTAAGTGGTAAGCAATGTCTTAAGTATAAAAAGTTTTATTTATGTGAAAATAAACAGATAGAGATCTAATTAATTTTATTTATATCCTTTTGTTCATTTATACAATCTAATAATTTTTGTCTTATACGATTTTGATGAAATCGCGGCAGTTTTAAGGTAGACTTTAACATATTTTCAAAGTATTCTTTTAATATAATATCATCATCTGTTAAAGCATTATCATTATTAGATAATAACATTAATTTACTATCCCCATTAGAAGGCTGTTTTTCTACTTGTTCTTCTTCCTTAGCTAGTTCCTGTTCCAGTTGTAATGTAAAATCATTTTCAGTTTTCTGCTGCTGCTGTTCATTTCTTTTATCGACTTCTGCTTCTATTCCCTCTAAGATCAGATCTATTTCATTGGCTGATATTTCCATGTGATTTCCTCCTCCATTATTGCTTTGTTTACTGGCAGCATATTTAACATATGGCACTACAAATTCCAGCTCATTATAGAAGGACCAGTCAGTTAATTGTACATATTTATCTTCGGGATTTTCGGTGACTGGTATATAACGTCTTAATTTTCTTTGTGCCACACTATCCAGATGCTGTCGCAGATAATTGATTAAGGAGCGCCATTTACATTTGGCATCTTCGGCTAAAAGTAAAAGAAAATAAGAAGAAAAAAATGCGATTTTATTAAAGGTTATAGGAGTTTTGGAGGCAATTGCTGGAACTTAATTGTTTCTTTGTTTGAGCATAGAATAGCCTTTAGTCTTGACTATAGAGTAGTCTATAGTCTTGTCTATATAGCAGTCTATAGTCTTGACTATAGAGTAGTATATAGTCTTGACTATAGAGTAGCATATAGTCTTGACTATAGAGTAGTCTATAGTCTTGACTATAGAGTAGTCTATAGTCTTGACTATAGAGTAGTCTATAGTCTTGGCTATAGAGTACTCTATAGTCTTGACTATAAAGTAGTCTATAGTCTTGACTATAGAGTAGTCTATAGTCTTGACTATAGAGTAGTCTATAGTCAAGACTATAGAGTAGTCTATAGTCAAGACTATAGAGTAGTCTATAGTCAAGACTATAGAGTAGTCTATAGTCAAGACTATAGAGTAGTCTATAGTCAAGACTATAGAGTAGTCTATAGTCAAGACTATAGAGTAGTCTATAGTCAAGACTATAGAGTAGTCTATAGTCAAGACTATAGAGTAGTCTATAGTCAAGACTATAGAGTAGTCTATAGTCAAGACTATAGAGTTATATAGTAGTTCATATTTTTGGCTATAGAGTAGTCTATAGTCTTGGCTATAGAGTAGTCTATATTCTTGACTATAGAGAAATCTGTAGTCATGACTATAAAGTATCCTATACTATTAACTACTATATAGTCTAGCTTAATCAAATTCTATATACATATATATATTTCATTCGCATTGCTTTTGTTTTAAGCCCATTGTATTTTTGTTATATGCTTTTACCAACAATTCTTAATTTGAGCTTTTCCTCATCGCACTCACTTTTCTCAAATCCCGAATCTTGAGCAATTCTATCCCATATTTGTTGCTTTTCATGACGATGTAAAAATGGCGTATGCAAAAATTCACTTTTGTACAGTCGAGGATGTTTACGAACATTTCGTATTAAAGTTATACGTTGATCTTGCGCTCGTGGTGTCTGCTGTTGTGGCTGATATATCATGGTAGATGTGGATGTTTGTTTATTAGACATTTTTTGGTGTGTTTACAGAAGAAAAAAATAATAATAACAAAAGTAGCCAAACAACCCTCCTCTACCAGTGAAGTATAAAAATGAACTAAACAAAAATATGTATTTATTAAAATTGTTTTTGTTGTTTGTCTCATGTGTTTTCAAAATGAACACTTTGTTCTTGTGCTAAACTTTTACTTTATATTCAGCAAAAGTTTTTTTTTTTTGTACTTAGTAGAAAGCTTTTAAGCTATTTCTTGCTAGCTCTATTCTATTGGCACATGAAAAGCTTTAAAGCTTTTATATTAATGAATGAACTTCATTATTTACGAATAATGAATATAAAGAATTGAAGAAGAAAATTGCATTAGGAAAATTTTAAAATTTTACAATTTCAATAAGTTTTTAGATATGTAGTTCATTTTTTGAGAAATAATGTTACGATTTCAAAATCACAGACAGATAGACATCGTCTCAACACATAATAATACCAGCTCCATTTCAATGGTGTAGGGTATGAAAAGAAATATGTACGATACTGGCAACCAAAATACAAACATAAACTAAAACAATAAAAACCGTTGTTATTTTTTATTTTTTCCACTTTGTTTTATTGCTTTTTCAAGCAAAGAGATTGTACGCAATAGACAAGCATTTCAGAGCGCGCACTTTAAAAATTCAGTTGAATATTGTCGCTCAAGCCAAACGGTTTGTTTGTCAAGCATACGAGTGCTACTACATACAAATTGGAGAGTAGTAGTTGTCTTGAAACATTTTTCCCCAACAAACAACAAAAACAACTACCATACAGAAAAAAAACAACAAAAAAGACGAAACGACTACTACCAGCAGCAACAGAACAGCAGAAAATATTCTAAAGAGCAAAACAAATAATAACAAAAACAATGTCAACACATCGACAATCAATACATTCCATACATAATAAGAAATTTTGGACTGAATTCTTTTATCTATACGAATCATTACCGGCCCTCTGGGACATGAATAATCCACTGTATAAAAATCGCCAGGTAAAATGTGATGCCTACGATATAATGGTCGATAAATTGCGTGAAATTGAACCGAATGCAGATCGTGAAGATGTTTTACGTAAAATTAACATATTTCGTACAAACTATAGACGTGAATGTTCACGCATTAATATGAGCATACAGGAGGGGCGGCATTATCAGTCCACTTTATGGTATTTTGATTTATTATGTTTTCTTCAAACGGCCGATACAAGACGAGATAGAAAACGTAAATTGGATGATGATGGCGAGAAGAGTATAATGGTGAGTTGTTTTTGTAATTTACTTGTGATTTGGTTTTTTTATGCTTTGGGGTTTGATATGTTGTGGGTGGGAAGAGAGCGAGGGAGGACAGGCAAAAGGGGGGAAGAGCAAAGACGGGGGGGGAAGAGAAAGGGAAAGCAGAAACAAGGAGGGGCAAGAAAAAAAGGACGAAGGGCGCGGGGGGAAAAGGACAGGGGAGAAAGGCCAAGGCGGAGGCGAGAGGAAAGAGAGGGAGAAGGGGCACGGGGGAAGAACGAGAGCGAGCGAGCGAGCGAGCGAGCGAGCGAGCGAGCGAGCGAGCGAGGCGAGCGAGCGAGCGAGCGAGCGAGCGAGCGAGCGAGCGAGCGAGCGAGCGAGCGAGCGAGCGAGCGAGCGAGCGAGCGAGCGAGCAGCGAGCGAGCGAGCGAGCGAGCGAGCGAGCGAGCGAGCGAGCGAGCGAGCGAGCGAGCGAGCGAGCGAGCGAGCGAGCGAGCGAGAGCGAGCGAGCGAGCGAGCGAGCGAGCGAGCGCGAGCGAGCGGCCGAGCGAGCAGCGAGCGAGCGAGCGAGCGAGCGAGAGAGCGAGCGAGCGAGCGAGCGAGCGAGCGAGCGAGCGAGCGAGCGAGCGAGCGAGCGAGCGAGCGAGCGAGCGAGCGAGCGAGCGAGCGAGGCGAGAGAGCGAGCGAGCGAGGAGCGAGCGAGC